TATTTTATAAAATATATATGTATTTTATGCGTTATACACCAATATAAAATATACTCAACAGCTTCAAAAATATGTAGGGGTAAACATAACAAAGAAGGAAAAACATGTATATAATAAAAAAATGTTAAATGTCAAAGAAATTAAAAAGGAGACTGAGAACATGAAAAATCTTCCATGCTCACAGATCGGCAAAATTAATAGAGTTCAAATGACTATACTACAGATAGTGATACCCAGAGTCAAAGCAGTCTCCATCAAAATTCCAATGGTGGGGAAATAGAAAAAAAAAGTCCTAAATTTCACACAGAACAAAAGAACTTCGATAATCAAAGCAAGCCGAGCACAATAGTACTGGTGTTATCACAATACTTGATTTCAAGTCATACTGTGGAGCCAATGTAACAAAAAAACAGCATGGTCCTGGCACAAAAAAAGAGACACATAGGTTAATTATTGTAGATGAGAGCATGCATAGTTAAATCCACACAGCTACAGCCATCTGATTTTTGACAGATGTCAGAAACATTCACTAGAACCACACATACAAGCATAGAAAGACAGATGTGATGTTTTGTTTCGGTTGTGGGTCCTGAGATTATAAATGCATAAAACATTTTATATAGAGTGATACATATGAATATATACATGTTCATGTATATGTGAGTGATATGAAAGGAAAAGGGAATCTTGGGTAAAGATGAAGACTATCAAGAGGAGGAAAGGAAAACAGAACTGAAGGAAGGGAGAGGTGTGAATACGGTCAATGCATGATATAGTTCAAGGAGATTATCCTTATGAAATCAACACTATGTAGAGTGAATATACACCAATAGAATTTTTATAAAGTAGAAGGAAGACTGTTTGGATGGAGAAGGGATGAGCTAGAGGGAGAAGGTGGTAAGAGAGATTGAAAGGGGTAAATGCAGTTGAAATACGTTATTCATGTATATGAAAATATCATAATGATTCACAATATATTGTACAAATGATAATTACTATTACTAATAAATAAAAACTCTTGACTACAAAGGGCATGAATGGAAAATATTCAAGACGCCTTGTGTCAGATAATCAATAAAGACTATGTGGAAGGCAGCAGGGAGCAGTGAGGAAGGACCCATGATCAGAAGACCATCCACTCACAGGAACCTCACTCCCACCTTTGTCTTAATGTCTAGGAAAGGATGGTATCCCAGGAGCAAGTGGTATGCCAGGACCACGGGGACCACCTGGAGACACTGGAAAGTGTGATGCCAAACAAACGTCAGCCTTTGCAGTGAAGCTAAATGAACCATTCCTAGCTCCAGACCAACCCATTGTCTTCAAGGAAGTAGTGTATAATCATCAGGACCAGTTTGATCTGACCACTGGTGTGTTTACTTGCCCCATCTCAGGACTTTACCACTTTATGTTTCACATGGAAACATTCCAGAGAGCTGTGAAAGTGGGCCTCATGGAGAATGGCACACAAGTGATCGAGAGAGCAACAGGGAGCAAAGATGGCTACCAGCACATCTCAGGAACTGCTCTCCTAGAGCTGGTCAAGGGAGATGGAGTCTGGCTGGAGTCCAAACTAAACCACACAGAATTTGAAAAGGGAACTATCCAAACAGTGTTCTATGGGTTTTTGATCCATGAAAATTAAGAGTGCTGGGATATATCAGTACTACCTATTACTCAAGAGCAGAAAGAGGATTCCATTCCTCATAGTGAACTTTTAGTAGTGAAATTTTATACAGACAAATTAAAAAAAAACAGTAATGTTAAAGTAGTTTACAGGAACTGGGAAATCAGTGTTCATTATGTTCTTAGGAACTATTTTTGTGTATATTAAATTATGGTTGCCAATTTGAAATCTACGTAGAAAAAATACTTAAATAGTAACATGGACTTCAATGGATTTTCACATACTGTGCATATGGGGTCATTAACAACCATATCAAAATACTATTAGCTGGATTTCAAATGCCCCATTCCTCAGTCCAGCTCCTTCTACTCCAGTCCCTAAAACGATGTGTATTACTCTGATGTCTAACAGCACAGGACAGGCAGGGACATGGAGAGGACTTAGGGATTCTTATACAACTTGATGTTTAAGAAAACCATCTAGGTTTTTACATAATTAATTCTACTTTGTTCATTTTTTTCTATTTCATTGTAATAAGGTGATATTGACATTGAATATATCATTGCTATTGAACATGCTATCACTATTGAACATGCTATCATTATTATTGAACATGTTCTGATTTAAAAAGGCAATGTCTCCTATAGGCTCATGTGTTTGAACACTTGGTCCACAGTTGGTGACATTGTCTGGGAAGCTTGCGGAGCGTTTAGGAGGTGGAGTCCTGTTGGAGGAAGTACGTCACTAGAGGCAGACTTTGAGGGTTTATGGCCCAGCTTCACTTCCTGTTCCCTGTACTTTTACTGGATACAATGTGATGTCCAGGTAGCAGCCAGCTCCTTGCTCCTGCTGCCAAGCCTTCCCTGCATGTTACCACAGTTTCCTTGCAATGATGGACTCGACTCTAAAACACAAGCCAAAGTAAACCTTTCTCCCTTTGAGCTCTTTGATTTTTCTTTAGTCACTGAGTCTGCTGCTGTGGATTTTTGCTACATCTTTTTCAATTTAGCCATCATCTTTAAGATTACTCGACAGTAGGACCCTATGACTGAAGATACCACGTACTTGAGTCACAGAACATGGAGAAATCAAGCTGGTACTGACGTAGAAGCTTCATCCCTACAGGCTAGCTTTCATGGTGCTAGAAGGCACTACACATACTACCCGGGAAGAAAAGTTATCATGAACCAGATGTGAACCCTGCAAGCTACAATAACAACTGACCTGGCAAGTTATGCCATGGTGCAATAGTGGTATGAATGTCATGGGAGCAACCAACCACTTACTGATTGGCTTTAAGGCCTGCTCCACAAGATGAAACCCATATCTAGCACTGTTATTGGGGCCAAGAACCTGTGGCTAGATAAGTCATAGGCCCTAGGGGACAACCAAATACTATTATTCTGCCAAGTGGATATAGTATGAAACTGACTCCTAAAGAGTTATCAGGATACTCATAGACTAATGCATCTCTCACCATTTATCAGAAAAGCTTTTTTTGGAAATTAACCACAGAGACCCACAACTGGACAGCATGCAAAGAATAAGAGACTGCAGAACACTTGGCCCTAAACGGGTCACCTATATTGCATCCTTTCCTCCCAAGGATCAGGTATCATTGTGGAGGAGGGTAGAAATATTTTAGGAGACAGAGGTGGTAGATTTCTGTAGGGAAAATATATATGAAAGTATGGTATATTTACACACTGGAATATTATTCAGCTGTCAAAAAACTATTAAATTAATAAGTGGATGGAACTGAAAACAATCACCTTGAGTAAGGTAACCTAGACCCAGAAAGACCAATATCATATGTTCTTTCTCATAGCTGGATGCTAGCTTTGAATGCTTAGCTATGAATGTTTCCATTAGAAAATTAAGAGAGGTCGGGAAACAAACAGCCATTTGGTGCTTCACAGGAGGCAAGATAGAATACAGTGATATAAAGGGGGTAAGGGGAATAATACAGTATGAAGGGTTAATTGGGGTGGGAAATGGGAGGACAGAGCAAAGGAGGGGGAATGGGAAGAGATAGCTAACACATAAAGGCCTTTATAAAAAGCCATATGGAAACCCACCACTACAGAAGCTTCTTAAAGCATATACATGGATTTATATTATATTAATTATATTTATTATGAGATTAAAACGAATCACCTTCTAACAGGGAGACATTGCCCCCACTATACACTACAGTCTAGTAAAGTAAAAGCTCAATGCCAGGGATGGACTCCCTCTTTTGAGGCTGTTGATCAGGGGTCCCATAGACCTTCAAACAGTACTGACCATTGTCCCTGCTCTTGGTTACCCACCAGAACTTGACAGGAAGACACTACATACATAAGCCATAGAAAAAACAAGGAGCAATCAAGCTGGTACTGGCTTCAAAGCTTCATCTCTACTGACTTGCCCTCATGGTGCTGGAAGGTGCTATGCAGGCTACCAGAAGAAAAAAAACTATCTTACTCAGCATTGAATCCTGTGTGTTTCAACTACAACTGGTCTGGAAAGATATGACCTCTGGTGCAACAGGAGCATGAATATTATGGGAGAAACCCATCACTTTCTAATTGGATCTAAGGTCTGCTTCATAAGATGGAGCCCATACATGACACTGATAGCAGGTCTAGGAACATGTAGCTGGACAAGCCATAGGACATAGGGAAGAGTCTAGTACTATTACTCTGCTAAACAGATACAGTATAAAAGCAACTCCTGATGACTTATTGTTATACCCATAGACTAATGTATCACTCGACTCTCCCCAGAGAAGTTCCTTATGCAGCAAATGGTGATTAACACAGAAATCCACAACTGGCCAACATGCAGAGAATAAGAGACTATAGAGAGATTATCTGTGAATTGGACACCTATACAAGACTTCTGTCTCCTAAGGCTCAGGGATCATTTTGGAAGAAGGAACAGAAAGATTGTAAGAGCCAGGGATGGTAGATGACCACAAGGAGACAGAGTCTTCCAGACAGCCAGGAAGTTATTCTTAAGAACTCCCAGCAATGGCGACAGCATACACAAGTCCCATGTAAGCCTGAGCCAGACAAAATCCCAGTACAGACACCTGGAAGTGGGTAAGGAACCCCAACCCTCACTGTGGAACTATTGGACACTGATGGCTGCTGGAAAGGGGAGTCAGTGTTGTTTAAGGCTGTGACTCTTGGTGCATTAACCACATTCCAGTGGATGGACACACACCAAGGATATTCGGGGACACAAATTTGACTCTATAGGCCTTTAGATACAAATATACATGCATACACTTATTACATGAAATTGGGTAGGGGGTAGTAATTGGGAGGGTGCAGACGGGGAGAGGTTCTAAATACCGTCAAAATGTATTATATGAAATGCTCAAAACTGCCATTAAAAAGGGGGGGTGGACAAAGTTGAGTGGACCAGCTGAGGGAATGGAGTTGAATATGATCTAAATATATTATGTAAAATTCTCAAAAAACTAATAAAATGAGTGAGGAAAAATGATCACATTTTAATTTTCCATTCCTTTTTCAAGCTTCTCATTTTGTTTGTGCACAGTCATATTTTCCAAAGTTCATTGTTTTCTACATATTCCTGCAATTCACTGAACTTAAGAAAATCAGTCTGAGTTCTTTCTCAGTCATTTCATAGCATGGGAATGGCTTTTATTAATGGACAGAATCTGAACTAATGACTTTAAATTAACCCCAACAACACCATGTGCTCTGGTGTCTTATGGCCTTTGTACCAATCTCAATTTGGAATTTCACCCAAAAAGATAATGAATGAATGAAGGAAGCAAGGAAGGAAGGAATAAATGAATGAATGAATGAATGTATGAGGGTATGCTTGAGAATTAACGCATCAAAGTGCTGAAAGGTGGTGTCCCATCTCCATTGAACACAGTGGAGGTTGGGAAGGATGACTGACATTGGATGATTCTAGAATTAGGGACCAAAAGGCCGGATGATCTGTTCAGATTAGGATGGAGCCAAGCTTGTACTTCCACAATTAAAGTTGGAGAAATCATTTTGAATAAAATTATGGATGAGGCCTGACTGGAGACATAGTTTCAGGTTCAGAATTCCAAGACAAGAATTCCATGGAGAAATCATTTTGAATAAAATTATGGATGAGTCCTGACTGGAGACATGGTTCTAGGTACAGAATTCCAAGACGAGAATGCCATCAGCACAGTTCCAGGAGATGGATGATTCCAAGAAATATCTAAGGGAATGAGTGTTCTCTGAGTTTGGGCCCGAGAAATCATTTTGAATAAAATTATGGATGAGGCCTGACTGGAGACATAGTTCTAGGTACAGAATTCCAAGACAAGAATGCCATCAGCACAGTTCCATGAGATGGATGGTTCCAAGAAATATCTAAGGGAATGAGTGTTCTCTGAGTTTGGGCCTACTTTTAAAAACTAAATTTAAGAGTTAGGCTTTTACTTGTTCAGGTAATTATAATGTTGGTACAGTAATATACCATCATAGATTTTTTGGGTGTAATGATGACTTTATTGATATTTAAAACTAAGAAATAGTAATTTATTTGTGCTAATGTCATGACTTCCTTTAGTAAATAACATTTTATTGATTCTTTGAGAATTTCATACAATGTGTTTTGATCATGTTCAGACCCTCTCCAGGACTCCTCCCCTTCTCCTCTCAGACCCACCACCATCTCCATACCCCCTTACTTCCTGTCCGCTATTCTTTAGTTAAGGCCTACAGACTCTATTTTGTGTTCTCCAAATGCTCTTGGGTGTGAATCCTTGAGCCTGCTCAAACTGCCCAGCATGACATCCTTAGAGAAAACTGATTCACCCTCTCCCAGCAGCCATCAATTTCCAACAGTTCTGTTCTCCAAATGCTCTTGGGTGTGAATCCTTGAGCCTGCTCAAACTGCCCCGCATGACATCCTTAGAGAAAACTAATTCACCCTCTCCCAGCAGCCATCAATTTCCAACAGTTTCCCAGCTATGACTGGAGTTTCTTGTCCACCTCCTTCCTCCATTCTCTTTGTTGTTTTGTTTCTGGCTTTGGCTTACACAGGCCTTGTGCATGCTGTCAAAAGTGCTGTAAGTTCATATGGACAACTACCCTGTTGTGTCAAAAAACATGGTTTCCTTGTGTTCATCCACCACTTCTGGCTCTTCTAATCTTTCTGCCCTCTCTTCTGCAATGATTTCTGAGCCTTGGGAGAGGGTATGATACAAGTATCCCATTTAAGGCCAAGCCCTCTGCAATATCTTATCTTCCAGTACATTGACCAGTTGTACATCTCTGTGTTAATCAGTTTCTACCGTAGAAAGAAGCTTCTGTGCTGAGGCTTGAGAGACACACTAATCTAATGGTATAACAGGAAGTCATTAGGAGCTGATTTAATACCATGTCTATTTAGCAGAATAACAGTATTAGGTTCTCCTCTACAGCCTGTGACCTGTTTAACCATAGGTTCTTGGCCCTGAAAATGGTGCCAGGTATAGGCTCCATCTTGTGACGTGGACCTTAAATCCAATCAGAAAGTGGTTGGTTACTCCCGTGACATTAACACCACTACTGCACCAGTGAGAATATCTTGCCAGGTCAATCATTATTGAGGCTGGCAGTGTTCACGGTTGAGTAAGGTTGAAGATTATTTTTTTCTTCTGGCAGTGTACATAGCACCTTCCAACACTATGAAAGCTAGCCAGTAGAGATGAAGCTTTGAGGTGAGTACCAGCTTGATATCTCCATGTTTGTTGTATGACTCACATGTGTAGTGTCCAGCAATAGGATCTTACCATCAAGTTCTAGAGGGCAACCAAGAGCAATGACAATAGCCAGTATTGTTTGAGGATCTATAGGTGCTCCCTGGTCAGCAACTTCAAAAGACAGAGTCCATTCTGGCATTGGGCTTTTTATTTGCTAACCTATCCTGTCTGGTAGGAGCACTGTACACCCCCCATTATAGGGTAACTCTATTTAAATGCTCTTTATATATGTGTAGCTGTATATTTTCAGAAGTTTCTACAGTAGTGGGTTTCCATATAACCTTTTCTAAAGGCCTTTAATGTTTGGTACCCTCCCCATAGTCCATCCTCTACCCTGCCGTCCCATTCCATACCCCATTAACCCTTCCTACTCCATTATGATTCCCCTTTACCCCCCTCTTATCATTCCATTCTATCTCCCCTCCCAGGAAGTCCCTCTTTAGACTTTATTGATGGACTGACCTCTCTGGATTTTCCAACTGAAACATGTATATCTAAGAATTCAAAGCTACCATCC